TGAAACTCAACAAATGTGCTCCCAATTTTTTTTAGCTACTTGGAAAACTCATTGATTTACCAATTATTTTTTTTGGGAACTATTGGAGATGCTATAATAGCTGCTGGTCAGAGCTATTCCTTACCCTATGTGTACCTCCTGCTCTCCTATATAGGACTTACTAAAAGCAACTGTTTCTGTCCCATGTAACTCGGAGTCTCTCATTATTCTGATGGTCTTTACTTTCTATAAAAGTACCAGCATGACAATTCTTTAGATGTTCTATCATGTAATAATACTTGAGATGTTCACATATTCCGATCTAGACATCTTAGTCCACTTCAAGACATTGCTTTGCAATTTACTTCCTGTTCCTGATTCCATCTTTGCCATAGCAGTTCATACATTTCATGAGAATGTCATTAATCTACTGTTGATAATGAAGTATTCACATAGCTCTGTTGATTCGTAATATAATGTCATCCTGTCTGTGTGAGGACTGATGAGAATATGCAACTGGAACTGGCAAAGTAATATCTATCGATTTTCCTACTTGCATAGCAGCAGAGCTTTTGTACGACTTTTGAAAAAAAAAATGTATGACTGGCTCGAATAATGAAATTGTTTTCTTGTTTTGACAGCAAGATGAGTCGGAAATTGGTTTGGGAGGAAATGGACAGCTATGGACACTGGGTGTTGGGTTGTTGTTTACAGCCATTGCTGCCACTTATGTAACAAGGCTCGCAAAGGTGAGGAACTATTTTTTCATGGACCACATACCTATATAGGATAAGTGGCAATTCAAGAGGATTCCTGGAAAAAAGCATGACATAACATGTTTCTGGTATCCCCCAATAACAAAACTTTTGTGAATACTTGGGGATTATTTGCATGTGTGGTTAATTTTGTACTCTTGCAATTGCTTCAGGGTTTAGTCAATACTGACTGCTCTCTTGCGTCTGCCTTTTTCAGGATGCTGTAAAGGAGATCGACGACTAGAATGGTAGGATGCTCTAGTAGAAAGGGCCCTCTGGATAGTGTACTAGCACATTGTACATCACTGGCACCTTTGGACTTTGGTGCAATCAATTCTAATAGAAATTCAGAGCAATTTTCTGAGGGAATCCTCTCTCTTCTTGACGTGGTGTCGATTCTCATTGAACAGAAATTCCTATTTCTGGATACCACTAATTCGCTGTATGGTGCACATTCGTGCCAGCTAAGAATCTACCAAAATCAAAGAGCCGAGAGCCGACTTCGCCGAATCTCCCTACCAGTAATCACCACAAGAACACTCTCCATCTTCCATGTGGTGGAAACAGTTTGCATCCCTCAAAACAATCTCTCTGCCGTACACCTTGGCGACCATCTTGATGGCAGTGTGGCAGTCGCCACACACTCGGAGGTTCTTGAACACGCGGATGGGTGCGGCCGCTGGCACAGCGAGCAGCCCGAAGGCCACGGCAAGCCTCTCGCTGTGGTACGCCAACCCCCTCTGCCTCCCCTCCGGCGCCTCGTCCTGCAGCGCCCAGTCCGTGTCCGGCACGTACCCCTCGGCCCGGATCCTCTCGGTCATCTCCTCCACTTTGCGGTAGATCTCGGCCGCCCGCGGGTGCCCGCGGTCCTCGACGTGGAACAGGTGCGTGACGCCGTTCACGCCCACCCAGCTGCACCCGGGCTCCTTGGTGACCCCTCTCGCCTTCATCAGCGCGCGGATCCTCGCGACGTCGCCCCATCTCCTGGCCCGGGAGTAGAGGTTAGACAGCATGACGTACGGCACGGCGTCCGCCGGGTCCAGCCTCCACACCATCTCGGCCGCGCGCTCGGCGAGCTCCGCGTTCCCGTGCACCCGGCACGCGCCCAGCAGCGACTTCCACACTGTGGCGTCCAGCTCCGTGGAGCTCCGGTTCAGCATGTCCATGGCCTCGTCCAGCCTCCCCGCCCGGCCTAGCAAGTCGACCAAGCACGCGTAGTGATCCGGTCCGGGAGCGATGCCGTAGTCGGCCACCATGGACCGGAAGTGATCCCGGCCGTCGTCGACGAGCCCGGCGTGGCTGCACGCGAAGAGCAGACCGATGAAGGTCACGTAGTCCGGCCTGCACCCGGACCGGACCATGTCGGCGTAGACCTCGAGCGACCGCCTGCCACGGCCGTTCTGCGCGTACCCGACGATGAGTGCCGTCCACGTGATGGTGCACCGCGCGTGCATCGCGTCGCGCAGCGCGCCGGTCTTGGCGTACATGGACACGAGCGAGTTCCCGACCGAGCGGAACGGGTTGAGCCCGAGGTGCACCGCGGCGGCGTGCACCGACTGGCCCACGTCGAGCATGGTGGAACCCGCGCACGAGCTGAGGACCGCCGCGACGGCGAACTCGTCGGGCTGGACCCCCGCGGCGACCATGCCGTGGTACGCGCGGACGGCCGCGCCGTGGGCGCCGGCGCGCGCGAGCCCCGTGAGGAGCGAGGTCCAGGTGACGACGTCCCGGCGCGGCATTTCGTCGAACACGGCCCGCGCCGCGGCGTCCCCCGCGCGGGGCAGCCTGGCGTAGGCGTCGACGAGCGCGTTGGCGACGTGGAGGTGGGGCGCGAGGCCCGCGTGGAGGAGGAGCGCGTGCAGCGCGGCCACTGCCCCCGGCGGGCCCCGCAGGAGCGCCGCGGAGTTGAGCAGCGGCGGGAGGGTGTACTCGTCGGCGCGCAGCCCCCGCCCGCGCATCTCGCGGAACAGGGCCAGCGCCCGCGCGTACAGCCCCGCGCGGGCGCACCGGGAGATGGCCGCGTTGTAGGCCACCACCCCCGTGCCCGCCGGCAACGCCATCGAATGGCCGCCGTGGGATCGTCAGTTACTACGTACTAGTAGAGTGGAAAACGTGCGTCGCAGCACATTCTTGGCGTGCGCAGGTCCACGGCGGCGCGACTTGTGCAAACCCATCCAGCAGGAGTGCACCATGATGAAGAGGTGACATGGCCATGGTGCAAACTGCACTGCTGGCTGCGGTCAACATCAAGTAGGAGTACTACTGAGAGTGTGCACTCCAAAGTCCAATCGACCAGTACAATTACAGTACCACACGCGTGGGTGGCAAAAAACAGCAACGATGTGCGGCGGCATGCCCCGCGTTTGTTTTGCTGCCGGCGGCCTAACTCATAGACTCTTGCCGACAAAATCGATCTACCGCTGACGACTTCTCTAAAACGATGTGCCGGTTGATTTTCTCCGCTAACTTGAGCAGACAAACGTGTAAAGGCTAAAGGCTTAGCTTGGAAGAGGCGTTAAACGGGATGCTTCAGCCTGTGGCCTGTCCATGACCACCTCAGTGAAAACAGTGAGGCCATGAATCTGCCTATCCAGAAGAAATAAACCACGAACGCCAGAGACAAGCTAGGGATGACAACAACCAGGCCGCTGGATTTATCATTTGTTTCCTCCCCCTTAAAAAACTAACATCATGACATTGCAACTTGCAGGCACTATAGAAAAAAAATCAGGGGCGGAGGCGAAAACTAAGGCCCTGTTCGCTTCGCTGAAAAGACATGGCTAAAATTATTATTTGCTAATTTATTGTGAGAGAAAAAATACCGTTCCTTCACTGAAACAGTACGGCTCATAAGATAAACAAACAGGACCTAAGCCCCTGAACCGCATCCATCATTATTATTTACCATCATTTGACTACGAGAAATCGACGTGCCGTTTTTTGGACATCATTCCTCTCGACTGAGTATTCTTGGCGACAGGAGAGAACTGGGAGCCGTCGACGTGGACAAACTCGTGCCCCTTCATCCCCTTCGTTTCTGGCTTCCAGCGCCACCAGTCCACTCGAAGGGCTCGGTGAACATTATCGCACTACTAGCACGTAAACGCATTGGATTCTCGTTTTGCCAATGATGGCTGCCACGATCTCGCGCTCACTCGACGGCTCTACTCCATCTGAAATCTACCAGAGAAACACTGCTGCAGACAAATCAAACGAGATGAGGGGTCTGTGCTCCGCAAACAAAAAATATCTGAATCTGGTTTTTGACCGCCCCACAAATAAAAGAGACGAAGAACGAAATCGAGTAGTTGTAAAAGAGACAAGGACAATAAAATTCACAGGTTCGCAGCCACCGGCCGCCGCTACCAAGCACACGTTCTGCTTCCGCATGCAGGCCTCCAAGAATCTGGTGGGTTCATTTCACATTTCGCTATCAGAATTCAGAATGACGGCAGATTCGACAATAACAACCGGTTATCAGAAATACTCCGGTACAACCAAGCTAATAAATACGAAAAAATCTCGACAAAAAAAAAAGATTTCGAGTAGAACCTGCAACTGTCTACTACTAGTGTCTAGTGAAGTTCAACTGTAGACGTTCCGTGGTCTTTTACCTGATATGCTGTAAGGCCTTGCTTTAGTTTCTCCTCAAGTTTATTCATCGAATGTTTGACACTTACATATAATATTAAATATAGATTAAAAAATAACTAATTACATAGTTTACGACTAATTTGTGAGAATGATCTTTTAATCCTAATTAGTTCATGATTTGATAATGTGGTGCTACCATAACACATATGCTTAATGATGAATTAATTAGTCTTAATAAATTCGTCTCGTGGGTATTCGAACACCCCGTATGACACCCGATGTTAACGGTCTAAAACTATACAACTGTATTTAAACAAGACCTAAATCTACTCACTGCATTTCCTGCTAAAGTAAAACCCATGTGGAAATCGAATGCCCACAGATTCTGTAAAATTGGCCGGTTTACTGACGACCACTGAATCGCCGATGATGCATCATTCTGATCACTAGTCGCATTGCACAAACAAAAAGGATTCGAATTCCTGACCCTTTATCCCCCCAAACGCCTAAACTCCAAGCAACCGCAAAATAACCACCGTTTCCTTGCAGCCCCGCGAATCTTCGGCCCCCTTCCCCACCCGACACGGCACACCACTCTCTCCCACTTCCTTCCCCTCCGCTCCTCTTTGCCCTCCGAATCCCCGTTCGCGAACCCTAGCCGGCCTCCGCGAGATGGACGAGGACTGGGAGCTCCTCCTCGCGTCCCCCAAGGCGGCGGCCGCCGAGCCGTACTCCGGCGGCGGGGAGGACGACGCCGGCGCCATCAAGCACGACTACTTCGACCTCGGCTCCGACGCCAAGTACCCCCGGAGAGCGTCTCTGTCGAAGGGGAACGAGGAGGAGGGGCTTCTCGGGGCGTTGGACAACGCGAGCTGGGTGGAGCCGGAACCTGACGACCTTCTCTTTCCCGGCCGCGACCGCGCGGCGCTCTGGTCGGACTCGTCCTCCGACGGGGAGAGGCCCGAGGTCGAGGCTACCGATCCGGTGGAGCGGGCCAGGGAGGAGGCCGGGGTCACGGAGGCCGCCGCGGCTGATGTGGGCGAGGGGGCCGTGGCGAAGGTGGGAGGACCGGTCCCGTGGTGGAAGCTGCCGCTGGACGCGCTGCGGGTGTGGGTACTGCGCGCGGCGAGGAGCGCCTGGTCGGTGCCGTTCGCCGTCGCGCTGCTTGGATTCGCCGTGCTCGGCCGCCGGCTGTACCGGATGCGCCGCCAGAGCAAAGCCGTCGCGCGCGTCCGCCTCGTCCTCGACGAAAAGGTGACGCCTTTCTATCCTCTTCCCTGCAAGTGTCTTGCTTTTGACTTGTGGATTTCGCCTTCTTCACACGCTGCTTCTTCCTGAGTCGCTTGTAGAAACTGATACCGAGCTTAGCAATAACTAGCTTACTTGCGAGCTTAGCTGCTCGTTGTGTGTGTTTTCCTTTCACTGAACAAATGATGTGCTGCCTCACCTCACGGTAGCTGTCTGTTTTGGAGATGCTCTTGTGCCGTTTATGCAGAGGCAAATCACATAAGAGAAATAATATAAAATCGATATAGTTTGCCTTCCTACTCCCACAGTTGCATTTGTGGTTGCTTCAACTTATAGGATTTCATTATAGAACGTGAACGGATTATGAATGGCAGAGCAGATGTAAATACCAGAGTATTCCTTGATCGACAATTCAACAAATCATTGGTTCAAATGTTGGGATTAGATGCTCGAAGCGATCCTTATTATCCATGTTTCAGAGTTTTCCCAGATTTCACTGCTTACCACTTTGCGATGCTTATTCTCCCTTAGACTATTATTACTGACTGAAAGTTCTTTTCCTGGGCTTATACGTCTCTGCAGAAGGTCTCCCAATTCAAGGGCCAGTCATCACGTCTGAATGAATCCATGACGATGGTGCGGCGAACTCCTATCATAAAACCTATGCTTCCTGCCAATGGAGTGACTCCATGGCCTGTGCTGGGGCACCTGTGAGATGTGTGATCAGTGACATGATAGAGCTAATAATACAACTGCACCAGCCATGCAGAGACGCTCACCGTGCTACAGGCCGGCATGTTATGCAATGCCCAGCAGCAGATGTACTGGTTGCTTGTAATTTGGAACTACACACTTGTGGAAGACCTTGTAAGTTTCCATTCACGCGGAATGATATTTAGGCCTGATCTAGTTTATGTTTCTTTTGTGTATACCCATGTTTATATTTTTATTTTCTGAATCCTTGTATCATCTATCTTATGTGCTGGAGATGTAAATGATTGAGTACTGAGTACCCATGGTACTATGGTACTGGTAGTGTGATGTATGTGACTATTGCCCATAAATCAATTCACAAGTGGGAGTTAGATTATGTGCTGGGCATCATTTCATCACCTTTGATCTAGTTTTTAGTCACTACATCTACATTTTTGCAGTATATCTTTAGGAAAAGGTTGTGTGGAGTAACCTTACTGAAACTTTGCCTCTGTTTGGACGGTCTGAAAAGTGGGGAAACACAAAGCGCAATGTGTCATGGCTATGATAGATTTATGTTGAAATGCCACTGGTTCCTACAAAACTGGGTTGATCATCCCTTCGTTCAGCATTTGAATTCTCAGCAGCCAGCACTCAAAACAACTGTTCTACAGGTTCTCTCTCGAACACTAAAGCTGAAAACAAGGTTCGTGATTTCCATGTAATTAGTATGAATCTACATGGTGTATCAGTCTAGAAACATTCTTTAAATCCAACAAATCTGGAAGAAACAAGTTCAGGCTTTGGATCTGAGAAAGGGCCCATGTCTTGCCCTCTAGTTTTCGAGCAATGGCATATGCCATATAGCCAGACTCGAAGTCTGCATGCTAGGTCATCCATGCCATAGTACTATCTACGTGATGCTAGGAAAATGTCGTGCTACATGAATTATCAGGGGCAACTTAATTTTACAGCATGATGAATAGCTAACTGCACCGCATGGCTTTATTCTTACGGGATTTATTGAGTGTTAGATGAGGTATGATATCAAAGTGGTCGTGCCGGAGTGGTTATCGGGCATGACTAGAAATCATGTGGGCTTTGCCCGCGCAGGTTCGAATCCTGCCGACCACGCTTTTATTTTTAATATTTTATTTTTTCTTCCCTACTAATCTACTATACACTTTTCATTTCCTCACACTGTTCATGTTTGATTGCTGCTGGTGCTGCTGAGGCAGTTCATCCTCTACGCTTTGTCTGCACTCTGCAGGCATGCCGTCCCTGTGGGTATACATCTATTGCCTACTATGGTAAATAATATAGTTTTTAGATAATAGAAAAATATTTCGGGTGCATCCGTTTTTAGGAAGAGAAATCAATTTATATTATTACATACCGTGGCACACACTACCCAAACATAGTAAAAGTTTATCAAGAGTTCCGTATTAAAAATCAATTCTAAAATTAAACAGCCATCCATGGAATGCTAAAAATAGCACTACCGCCGATTCCTAAGTGCATCAAGATTGGATCAATAGCTTCTTTTGGTTATCACATCGTTGCAATTGCGCCTAGAACCGAAGTCAGAGTATCCCCTGAAACAAGACCTACAAAAATGTATTTATTTTGTATGCACTTGCTAGAGATAACCTTATTTCCTGTGAACCAAAGCAACCAACAAAATGTTGCCGCCCTTGTGAATAAATAGTGTTTATAATTTCTACCTGCTTGATTAGACTATCGGTTGAACATATTATTTAGGTCCTCTTTGGTAGACCATTTTTTTTTGGTGGGGGGGGGGGCTTCTCCACTAGCTTAACTAAAAAAAGCCCTCCCAATGAGGGCAAGAAGTCGAAGCCACCAAAATGTGGTTTTTCCTGGTTTTTCGTTTTTGGAGAAGCCCATGCCCTACCAAAGAGGGCCTTACATTCACATGTGATGAAAATTCCAAGCATAACATGCACAACACGTTAGAGAAATTTAGCAAATTAACACTCTAAAATAGATGTTGGATGATTTATAGGTAACTACCGAAACAACAAACTCCCATATAAGAGTACAAGTACAAGTACAATGGTAGCCCGCAAGTGGTCGTACTGTCATACTTGAACCCATATAAACCCGGTAGTCCGTCGAGTACCACGACGGGTCTCGATAAACGATTTACAACAACCAAGATCGTACATGATTCAACATACATGCCACATGTTACATAAAGTTCACAGATACATTTCTCCATTAGAGTACGAATAAAAGTTATTACAAACCGAGTTTGATAGATAAAAGTGGAAACAAATTAAGTTTGAAAGTAAAGTTTCCAACATAGTTTAGTACAGTGCCAAGATACGATCACGGTCCACAAAAGCATGTAGAAGGATTAATAAGAAGCCTGCCCAAGGCTTACTCCTCATCCACAGCGGGATAGAAGCAACTCTTGCAATAACCATGATATACAGTGCCATCTGCAACATGGGAAATAAAACCCTGAGTACAAGAAGGTACTCAGCTAGACTTACTCGTCATAAACCAGAAATAAAATGACTCCAAGGATTATGCAAGGCTGTATAAGTGGATATAGCTTGACAACATTTTGCATAAAAGCAATTGACTTATTGTATAATTAGAATTCCTTTATCAATTATTTATAACTATCCATCTCTATATTAGCAACTATCCTGTGCCAAACATGTGGTATATCCATTTAAAAGCATACAATAGTAACCATAACAGGTATTGTAATTCCATATTCATTCGAACCATCATGTTCCATAACACAGTTACTACGATGTTGGGACTAGCCAAGTTTCTCACTATCCGGGAGAGACGGCGATTCGAATCGATTTCAACCACCGAATTTATTTCTAACACAAACCCAGTCTACCACCCACGATAGCCTTAGGTCACCTTTTGGTACAACTCAGTACACATTTAGGTGGGTCCGTATCACACCGCATGTCTGGAACACCAGATGCCGGGGCGTTCGAGTGCCTAGCCCGCCTTTTGGGCTCGGTCGATCGTTCCCGGATGGAGCGCATAACATGAAACGGGTTCGCGCCCGAGTTGAATTAATCGGCCTCACGGTCGGAACGAGCTGTCACAGAACCGACCAATTTATAAGAGCGCAAGTACAAAAACAATCGCCGAAACGATCAAATTCTCGAACTTGAGCCCATATAAACCCGGTAGTCAAGCCGAAATCTCGAAGGATTTTAAACCAACTTGCATACAACCAAGATCACGGTAATTCAACATAACATATCGTATGTTACAACATTTCACAGACGTTTGCAAATAGATTACATCATCACAGAGTCAACGTTATTACAAAACAAGTCTTGTAAAACATGCGGAAGCAAATAGTTTAACTCACACACTCGAGTTCAAATACACATACCGGTTTTCTTGATCACACCCAAAAAGCATTCGAGATAAGGGAACAGAGATCATGCCCATGATCTAGTCTTCATCACCGCCGGGTGGAGACAATACTACAGAATCCACGATATAGAAGGTCATCTCGCAACAAGAGGGAATAAACCACGAGTACGGAATGTACTCACTAGACTTACCCGCCATGAAACCAAAATAAATGACACCAAGGATTATGCAAAGCTTATTGTAGTGGATCTGGTTGACACTTTCTTTTTGCGAGAAAAGCATAAGTAATAATGATCAAATCTTAGCACGGACTAGCGGTGACTTTTTAACCATTAACTCGACAACTATATTAGCACCAGTACTAAGCAATCATATTATTAGGGTGCAAACATTAATAACCATATCGGTATTCATTGGCAACCTTATCATCATCATCCATTTAACCATATCGTTAAATTAATTGAATCTACGTTGCTGCTTTGCTCGGTAAGTTCTCACTATCCGGAGAGGCGGCGATTCAATCGATTCCTATCCACCGGAGGGTATTCCTAAACACAAACCCCGCTTCTCCCGTCGGAGTCGCAAACAAGTCACCTTTAGTACGATTCAGAGTCGCGAGTCCCATCGGATCGACATTCTCGTGAGAACCACTCTGCCAAGGTTGTTCGGGACTCTAACCCGCCTTGGACTTATGCCAATGGCTCTCCGCACATCCTTACTACCTCCGTAATGTCGCCATTTGCTCGCGTCCCCCGGCTTTGAGTCGAGCTACTAGGCTTCAGCGGTCGGAACGACTTATCCGGCCACTAAGTGTTAGGTTGCGTTCAACATGACATGAGGACGTCTGACAGTATCGGGTCCTTAAACGACTCGAGGCAAGTCACTATGTTCAAACCTACACAAGACCCGCCTTGGTCTTAATTCATTATTCACATGGTTCTTTTCCACGATAGCAAATATAGCCAACCGTGACCCACCTCATCCTAAAGCTCGCGGTGACAGAAATCACGACTTCTACCGCACTAAGCATGGCTAAGCATATAACCCGTTCTGAACTTAAATAGGATTCCAGTCACGATATCTCTGGACAAGGAAGGATATATAATGCAGCAATTGGTTCCAACCAATTCCTATACTTAATGCATCATCAACAATAAAAGGTACTCAAAGTATTTGCAAAAACATGGGAGGCTTAATATGCTCCGGGGCTTGCCTTTTAGGAACGAGGAAGGCTGGTGGTCAGGGCACTCGGGCAGATCCTCCATGGCGATCGCTTCGTCGACTTCACGCACCTCGGGTTCCTCCTCCCGGTTGGCTCCCTCGAACTCCAGCAACGTCACTCCCTCCGGCACACCTATTGCATGAATGCGCAAGATAAATATCATGGATGCACATGAACGACTGTCAGGGATGCTCGGAGAATGCACATGTTCGTTGTAGTTTGCATATTCCAACTTAAGCCCTATTCAAATCACTTTACTTACCAAGTTTATACAACCTAATGTATAATTGCTCATCTTCAGTTAATGACCTAGCACCTGCACCTAAGCATATTTTCAAGTTAGGCTAACCCCCAAACAATCAACGATTACATTGCAACACATTCAATCAAGCATGTGTATTTCAGCAAATGAAGACAAGAC